CCCTTTTCGCATCGTTGACGTCATCAAAGAATTATCACGTGGCCCGAACTTTCGGGGGTCGCCCTGGTGGATTCATTTCTAAGTGCCGCCAGAAATGAGTACAACCTCTAAAAACCCTTAATTACAAACAAAAAAATTGCTTAACAGAAACTTATCGTTATCGTTATCAATCGCTTAGTTAATGAAAAGTCATTAATGTTGTAATAATAAAATAACATTTTTGCAAAGACTGTATAACGGTAATACGTACATTCAAGAAAAGATTATGTCAAATGCGATTGATATCGATATTGGTATATTAAAATCAAGGATCACATGGTCATTATAACGTTAACGTTAAAGTAAAATCTGGACTTTCAAAAATGCAATATCGATATTTCGATTTACCTTTTTTTTAGACTAGAATATATTTTAAAATATTCTGTGATTCTATTTTTTACTTTGAAAAAAATCAAAAACTTAATTTCCACCTAATGATAATAATGAAGAGAAGAAGCCAACTACCTGTATTATAAGCCTGTTGATATATTACATATTTTGCAAACATATACAGTAAAAAATTCCGCACGAACCCGCTGAAAATTTAATCACAACTAATATATACCAGAAACCTATTTTTCTTCAGCTAACACACCCGCATCAATTAATAAATCCTTCAATTTCCCATTAGCATGTAGAATTGCTACTTCTTCACTGCCACCAATTGACCACCCATCCACGAAAATATTAGGAAAAGTGGCCTGATAAGTGAATTTAAATAACGCCAGTTTTACTTCTTCCGAATCATCTAAGACAAAAACGATAATTGAAAAAGTCAAATGGAGAAATGAATATGCAGACGTAAGTAATATCGATTAGTTATTTACCTCTTGCATCCACTTCAACAATATATGGGTGTGGTTCTACACCGTATTGTGCAAGAATATGCTTTGCACGTCGGGAATATCTGAAATAAGAATTGGTTAAATTAATTGCCAACGTGTATGATCATTCTCTTGAAAAAATAAAAATTGATACTTACGGACAATAAGTTTTACTGAATATTACAACTGGATTATCATGAATTATGTCGTCAATTTCTTGTTCTAATTCAGTTTCCGGATAAGTTTCATCTTCATCTTCATCCTCGTCTTCGTCCTCGTCCTCGTCTTCGTTCTCGTCCTCGTCCTCGTCATCTTCCTCATCATCATGTTCGTCGTGTACACCGTGATGGTGGCCTAATGGACCAGAGAAACCATGAGATTGTACTTCTAATCCATGAATTCCTTCTTCCGCTCCGTCACCCATAACACTAGCAGCAGCCATTGCAGCAGCATTGTCTTGATATTTTTTTAATGAATTAATATCAAATCCTGCTCCATTGAAATGAGAGACGAACCATAAAGAACATAAGAAAAGCGCAAGTGTTGCTAAGAGTACTCGATGCTTTTTAGTTTTCCATGTTGCATCATCAAATATCGTTATTATTCGTTGTTCTTGTTCTTGTTGTTTTAAGAATAAATAATGTTCTTTTTTTTGTTGATTATGATTTTTTGTTGTTGTATTTTGATAATATGTTGGTAGTAGACTTGCTGCTTTTGATGTTACTGTCGTCGTTGTTCCAGACATTTTTTATGGTCTCGTTTCCTTAATTAATGAATTCGAACTTATGTTGAATTATTTCTTATTATTTCGTTAATACACAAGTACGAGAAAGAAAAACAACACTTTGCGTACGTATTGTTTATGGTTCGATGAACCAAGACTTTTATATGTGATAATTTGTAAATGTATAATAATAGAGACCTAATCTATCCATTTCATTCAAAAGTACATAGCGATAGTAATACCGTACCCCTTTGAATTACACACAAATTGCAAATCGATAGCAGCAGCAACACATGTTCTATCCAATAACGATAATTATAATATGTGTCACAAGTTGCACTGGATGCACGATTCTGCATCGTCCAATTTATTGGATAATGGTGAGATTCTGTGTTTACACGTACTGGTACCGTCAAACCTCTTTATAACAGCGGCTGAGAATTTTAAAATAAATTCATTATACACGTACATATACAGTTCCAAAATTTCATTCGTTATAAAGAGGGTCCGTTACATACCGGGCCGTTATAGAGGTTTCACTATCTGAGAAAATAAGAATACGTAACTGGTTGAATTATTATTTCCTGAATCATTAAACACTATGATTACAAAGGTTGCTTTCTAGCGCTAGGACCAATCGCTATAGTTTTATAATGAGAGTACTAAATTAATAATAAAACAACTAGCCATTTTTATGAATTATGACTCCACCAAATTATCATCGAATCTACCCTAAACGTTCTAATTCGTCAATATTTTGGGCAACTGTAGGATTGAGATTGTCAATACCGATATATACATGTACGTATTCGCTTTGAAAGAATGAACACGTGAATATTATGTGCGGTGCCAAAAAGATTGATCAAAAAAAGCTTTATACATCGACATATCATCATATCATTCGCTATCGCTATTAGTAAAAAATTTGAAAAATTCGGTTAGTACGTACATGTACATGTACATGTACTTTATACCCGATACTTTAATATAATCAAAATCAAAAGACGAAATAATCACATCGACATTCGAGCAAAGGCAGATGTTATCTCTAAATTCGTCAGAATTGCCGCCGAATTCAGCACAACTCGGATGAATTATCAGCTGAAATGGCACCGAATTGCTAGTGTTGATGCATAACTTCTTCGAATCCAGAAATACGAGGTAATGGCTATAACTATTGAAATTATCATTTGCTGTATTTTTTATAAGGGAATATATATATATATAAATCGGAATCAAGATTACGCTATGACGAAAAAAGTTTCATTTATTGTTACTATTCAGGTAAAAGATGATTTTGTTAGAGTGACAAGTCTAATCCATTTATTTATTAGATCAAGTCAAGCTTTATCGTTATTCTCTTTTATCTAAAGACATATGACAGAATTATCGGATCCTTTGAAATATCACCACATTGAAAAAAAATGTAAATTACAGATACAGTATTTTTTTTATAGCAGTCTCGGATCTTTGTATAGTGTAGGAACTCTTAAACAGACAATATGTTTCATGTTATAAATTCTAACAAAGTAAATCCAGAATTTTTACTTCCTAGTTAAGAAGTTGTTAGAATTTCTAACGTGAAAACATTGTCGATTTACAAACTTTATACATCCGAGAAAAAATTATAAAAGATCAAACCATGATTTGTCTCGTACAGTACTGACAAATTTATAACTTGGTGATATTAATATCAATGTGTTTAACCAAAAAGTAAATACGTACATGATACATGTAGAATGCACACACATATGTACTCTCATCGTTATCATTATCATTATTGTAAAGTGACGCATTCTCGTTAATATGTACGTAGTTGACTCACTCATTTACGTTTATGTATCGTTATACATGTACATGTGTCTTTCAGAATTTTCTATTTGGAATCTTTTTCCTGTTCTCTATGATAAATCTCATTCAGTATAATTTTTTTCACTTCCATTTGTACTCCAAAAATAGGTTTTGATTATGTCATGAATATTAAGCAATCGATGGCTTGATTTGTACTACTAAATGAATTGACCAATCATAATATTTAGTGTTTTACTTTAACCACAAAGAATCTCTTGGATGAAAGAGAAAGGGAGACCTGGCTTCTTTCAATAATTATAATATTACGTCACCTGACCAGGTTTGAAAATAGTATAATTTCAAAACGCATCTTAGATCTTGAGGAGGAAAAAAAGGATGCCTTAGAAAAAAACTTTTCCTAAAAGTTTTGACGAAAAAAAGTTTCCACGGTAGCATATTACGTTTTTTCTTCACAAATACGTTTATTTTTTCTTTTGTATATTGTCAGCTTTCTCTACTTTGCCAAAAAATACTGTAGCGTGTACACTAATTTATCTTTTTCTTAAAACTTGGAATTAACTCGACATCTAATAGAAGTGAGAAAATTTTAGTTTAAAACATAAAAAAAGTGTAAATAATTTTATTTACACGTATCGGTATATTCTGTCAAAACGTCGTCTTGGAGTCTTCAATTATCCAAAGCAACAATTAAATTTAAATTTTCCATTATTTAGAAACAATTAATATTTAGGGAAAATTGTTGATAAATAAAACAAAAATTTAGAAAGCGATGGCTAAAACAAAAATAACACAAAAATTAAGCAGTAACCATGGTTCAGAAAAACGAATTTCTGTGATTTCTAAGTCGGCTTCGGGTGATAATGGTGGTGGTGGTGGTGCTAATGGTGACCTCGATCGTGAAAACCTATCAAAAATGAAGGCACAAACTGAAGCCGTAAGTTAAATTCAACCAAAAGTCATTACTCGTCTTTCAGTATTAGCAAATAATTCAAAAGCCATAATAAATGATCTTTTTGACAATATAAGGCTGCAGATGTTTTCGAACAAGCAGCAACCAATTGGAAAAAAGCCAATCAAAAAATACACAAATTACAAACTATGATGACTGATGGAAATCCCATATTTAAAAAGCGTATTCCAATTCGTAAATCACATAATCATTATGAATCAAAAGAATCATCTGGCTCAAGCGAAGAATTATCATCCTCATCCGGAGAAGAATTAGAATCCGAAAGTAGTGATGTTGACGATGATGATGATGATGTTGTTGACGAGAATGATGAAACCTTTCCAGATCCATCCAAGTCAAGGAATCAGCTAAACGAGAGCTTTAATGAAATGAAACACTTTTCACCTTCAAATAATAATAATGTTGTTATGAATCAAAAAAGAATCGGAGTAAATAATCTTCATAAGAAATCAAAAAAACCAAAATATAACGATGACACATTTGTAAAGACAGCAAAGCAAATCGTCGCGAAATCAGAGACAGAAATTTTCGAGTCATTACCTGAACTTAAGAGTAAAAAAGTGCCAAAAAACGTCTATCTGTATTTTGTATCTCAACGTTTTGCAGACGTCAAAGCTGAATTTCCGAATCTTCAAATGACAGATGTTAATGGGAAAATAGCTGAAATGTGGAAAACTTTACCAGCAGAAGAGAAAGAGGTAAAAAATTATCAATATTGTTTAAACAAAAAATAGTCAATTTATTTTGCTTTCTATTTCTTTAATGCTTAGAGCTTTCGGGCCGAGTTCCACGCACAGCAACAAAAATATGGTAATGGAGGAACACCTTCAAAAGAAATAACATCATCATCAAAGACACATATATCATCTCCTGAATCCTCCAAATTAATCTCTGCATCGTTAAAGTCATCGATTGATTCACCGAAACTTTTGTCGACGGCAGCCCAAAAAAAAATTGAATCAAATTCTCAAAATTTTTTATTCGATTCTTCTATTGCATCATCATCAAATTCTTTTGTTTCGACACCACAAAAGCCTTATATTGGAAATCAACTAATCAAAGATACGGAAATTAAGGAATATACGCCACAGCATAATGAATCTGACGACGATAAAGGAACTCATAGAGAATCTCCATATCAAAGATCAATATCTACCTCTACTTTCAATAATGTTCTTGTTGCTAGTCAAAATGAAGAAGTACCATGGATTTTACCAATTGTTGGAACACCCACATCATTTGGTTTGAGTCCATATCGTAAGCGAAAAATTCGAAAAAGCAGTTTCAGCGATTACGATAATTAATTACGATATTTAATGTCATATCAGAATATCGTTTTTCTACGAAAATATTCTATAGGAAGAGAAAAAAAATATTTAGCGTAATATAAGAAAGGAGGATTTGATTGGATAGGTTATTACATAAAAGATTACTTGACATCAATCTTCAATTTTGTAAATATATCTTTTTTTCATTTATATTTGATTTTTTACTTTTCACGCAAGATTTACCTTTGAATAATTTTTAACAATTGAAATTAGCAAAGATCAAGGTTTATTAAAATTTGCCTTCAATTTTTGATTCTCTCGCTCTTAATGTTAAGTTTCAATGAATAATGCTTCTGTGTGACATACATTGATGTGTGTAACTTGATTCGGACGATCAAGTACATGTATCGATATTAAAATCAGTAGCGGCGGCGGTGGAGGATAACTAATCTTTTCGGGCAACAATATGGAAATGCAATACTTTTTTTACTTCGGAAAAGGGTAAAAACCTGACATCCGATTATCCATATTTCTTTGCTTGATTCTACCATACGTACGACTCTTCTTAAATACTCGCTATAGTGAAGATTTTTTTTAACTCGATATTTAGTGAGTTTATTAATAATTCATTAAAAGTTATTTCGCTATATCGAAAGTTCATTAGACTAGAAGTTTCTTAAAAATCTGAGTATATTGCTTGGGAGGGTAATTGCTCAATTACTCAATTGTGGGCTCATTCAGAGAATAAACACTTTAATAGTCACTTCGGCAACGATCAAGTGCAATACGACGCATTTTTATCTCAAATGAATAGCTGTTAGCAATTCTGTGATATTGTAATCACCCACTTCGAACATAAATCAATCAAATTTTTGGTGTTTTCATAGCCCTGGTTATTTAGTTGAACTCGTCTAATAAATATTGCAAAGTATTTTCGGGCATGCGGGATATAAGTATCGGTATGAATATTACTATCGCTATTTAATGGTAACGGTAAAGTTAAAAAACTACGTAGATTTTTGAGTTACAGTATTTGATCGTCCGTTTAAATTTCTAATTCAAGCAAGAAGACAAAGAGCTATTTTGTACCATGACTGACATGTAAGAATATAACGATAATGTCTTAAATCATTCACGATTTGTAAATCTTGACTTTGTGATGAAAACAAATTGATGTATTAAAAAATATTGATACGAAACTTTCCGCGCATATTTCTCGAAATGAAACACAGATTTTTCATTAGACTATAGTGAAGTAATCGACGAAGTTTCAAGAATGACAAAGAATCTGCTCCCATATTGAAAATGTGGATAATCAACTATTGTGTTGTGGAGCATACAATACGTTATTCAGCAAGAAGAATTTTTTCGTATTTAGAATCTGGACGTTCTCTCTTAACTATCTTCATTAGCTATTCATTGATATATATTTTGGCAGCATTTAAGATTTCCGGATTTTCTCAAATTTCCGATAGCCTTGATCTGATTTTTTTCTTTATTCCTCGCAAGGAAGACCGAGCATCTGAATGTTCTCTATTAGCAACGTTCGAAACCATTCATATGCTTACGTTTAGCTTCTTGTTCCAAACATAAAGATGACATTGATTCTCTAAACAACCGTCATTTGACGATTTGGAAACCCATTCAAACGTTTGGTTTTATCTCTGTATTTACATATTGAGATGTTAAATCGCTGATTAAAGAAATATTCATAAACTGCTTTAATTTTTCTGGAGTATGATTCGATAATTGTTGTGACAAAACCTGACAATGTAGATATCTTGAATTTCAGGTGCGATTTTGTGCTTAACTACGTATTTATGTAAACATTTGTTTAAAATATTGATGGGATATTTCATATTTTGATTGATTCTTTCTTTATATTTTTTGCAAATTCAACGACAATGTTGAATATTCGCGCTTATAGATGGGTGATGAATGCAGCAATACGTGTAAAAATTACGGTTGTCAAAAATAATTTGGACGTTTTACATAGATGCTGAAATTACAGCATTTAGGTACTCATCTATATTCAAGATGGACTACAATCATCTTTTGAATAAAAAAAGTGTATGGCATTTTTTTCCGTATATCTTATTATTTGAAATTTTATAAATTTGAATGGTAAAATTCTTGAATGTAAATTAACATAATAATCAGTTTTCCCTCCATTTGTTTCGTTCGAGACATACGCTTGTTGATTCGATATCATTATTTAGCGTTAGTATATTAATATCGATTTGATGTGTGCTGATTGTTTTTTGAAAATTTAATTAATATGACACATCAATATGATTTATATTTAGAAATACAACATACCTGGAATGGATATTGATTTTTAAATAAACATTCGACTGGTGTGAACTGCGTTTGATTTTCGTTCGTATTTGTAGGAAAGCTCTTTTTTTTTAATTTCATTTGAAAATGCAAATTATTAAGTTTCTCAGTTGGTCTGTTTTTTAAAATAGGATCCCAACATTTTTCAATAATAAAGTTGCACCATTTCCGTTATAGATGTCCCTCATACGAGATCTATTATGACTTTGTTTACCAAATGGTGCCAACCTTATACGTAATCATCTCAAAGCTAAATATCTGGAGCTTTATTATATCGACTTTTCATTCAGCACATCTAGACTCATATAAGGAACTACTCCGTAAATTTTTTGATTATATTTTAGCAATACATGTACATACCGGAAATAATATAATATATTTCCAGGGTGAAAGTCACAATGCTCACAGTGAATTATATTCACCCCTAAAGTAAACGTTCCAATTTTTCTTTCCAAGTCAATTATATTTGCATAGATCGTTTGTAGCTGGATTTTTAGTTATCCCATGCTTATCCCTTAGAAAGTATTCGTTCGTAACTCTAATGTACATGTAATTTGTTTTGAATCGTGTCACAACTTTGTTTCTTTCAGATCATTTAAATTATTTTCCTCCTGTTAATAAAGTTTTAGATTTCACTTTATTAGTAATTACCTAAAACATTAATGTCGATTGTATGAAATTTTAATGTGTCATTTGCATAAAAAATGAGACATAATGTCTTCTTTTAATACTGATTTATTTTTATTTTTAAGTTATGAATAAAAAATAAGAAGGTTTTTTTATATTGGATGACTATGACATTGTACGTATATGAAAAGTTATTGCATCATTTCAGTTGATGCAATGCTTTGATCTCTATTGCATATATATATATGGTCCTCTAAAGCATAAAAAATTCGACCTCCGTACAGTCACAACCCCTTTAAGTCACACTTTTTCTGGTCCTGAGGGCGTAACATCGATAAATTATGACTTTTATTACTGTGTGTCATAATAAAAGACGTAATAATTATATGTCATTTTTCATGTGAAATACTGTTCTTGTCAATTCAAGAGTTGTTGAAACTAATGAATTAATAAACAATCAGTAAAAGAACAAGAACTGAATGATTTACAATTAATAGGGTTTACTAAAGGTTCTAGAGATCTCTTATGGTAGCTTGTATGCAAACTAACTTATTGTTAAAGTTAAAAATAAGGGAAAAGAGGGGAAATAAACAATAAACTAAAATAAAACTCATATAACTATTAAAAACAATAACTGAACTTATTGAGACTGCTTAATAAAATAAAATAATAATTAAATTTATTGAGACTTCTAATACAGAAATAAAAACAAAATGACTATATCAATATACTAAATAAAATAAATCAAACTTATTGATAAGACCTAAATAATAATAAAATTAAAATAAATAAAATATTAAAGTCAATAGCTTATTTAGAGTGAAGAAGTATTCATTATTTGTAATATTCATGAAAATAATAGTGTATTTACAAGTATAATATTATAAGTAAGAATTTTGTTATTTTTATTAGATCAAAATATAAGAGTTTCTAATAATAAGAGACTCTTTTTTATATATTTTAACAATTTTTGCAATTTACATGACTAATAATTATTCTAAATCATATCACTAATTACAGATAATATTAAAAATACTAAAGAAGAATAAAAATTGAAAAATAAAATATTATACATAATAATAAAAAAGAAAATATAAGAGAAAATTTACAAGATGATTAGTGATTAAAGATAAAAAAATCTAAAAAAAGAAAAATAATGATACAAGATTGATTATGAGAAAAATTAACAAAGAAAATAAAAATAAAATGAAAATAAAAGAGATAAAATAAAAATGATAATGAAAATAAAAGTAAAAATGAAAATGAGAAATAAAATATAATTGAATAAATATAATGAAATAAAAATTAAAAATACTTTTATTGAAGATAGAATATCAAATATATCAATAGCAAAAATATTAATTTCAAGTAAAAATACAAAATAAAATAAAAATATATATAAGAATATGATTGTTAATAATTATTTTAATTTTGAATCAAAAAGAAAATAATTTATACTAAATTAAAGTGAAAGTTTTTATATAATACAAATTATATACATGTTATCCAATATATTATTTATTCAATATATTTTTTATATAATATATTATAGAAAAATCTGATCTCTAATAATTAGTACTATTATCAAATAGAAAATAGACTTATTTTAACTTTGTTTTTATTTTTACTTATATAATTACTATTCAATTTAATATACAATATGAATATAAATTTAAATATAATATTTTTTCTTATTGATTACATATTTCTTTTTTTAAATTTCTTTAGTTAATTAATTTGATAAAAATAAAATAATAATTTTATTAAAATTGAGTATTATACAAGTTACAAGAAAAATAAGTTATAAACTAAAATAATGGGATAATAATTCTTGTTGAATATAAGAAAAATAAGAAAAAATTATCAGAATCTGAAAGATTATAAGTTCTTAACAAGCAAAAAAAATATATATTTCAAGAAATCAAAAAAAGATAATCTAAGCTATTTTGTAATATTATTAACAAAAAGTCTTTGTAAAAATTTATTCAAAGATTTTTAAGTAATTTCATTTTTTAATTGAAAAAATATGGTGTTTTAGCTTAATATATGCTTTCAAATATTGCTTCATAAAAAATATTTGTAAAATAATATTCTAAAGTATAAAAACTGGAAACAAGTTCAAGGCTGCTCTGAAAGAAGTGTAGTCAAAATTTAATGTATTAGTTTGAAAAAATATTATAATCTCAATATTATAAGGAATCAAAATAATATTGAAGTCATATAGAAAATGAATAATGTATTGATTAATAATAAAAAAATTTATATATATAAAACAGAAATGAAATAAAACAAATATATATCTAAAATTTTATTTTTTAAAAAAAATCAGCAGTTACTTTCTGTGATGATTGTGCACAATGTTGAGCCAAAAGCAATCAATGCAAACAATATGATGCCAAGACAACTAAGTAATATGACAATCAATGTAAATATCAAAGACAATCAAGTAATATAGCAACATGGCAACCAAAGATATTAGAGTTAGGATTTGGATTAATATTAATACTCGAATATCGAAAATGAAGCATCAACACGTTAAGTCTATTTTTTCTACTTTTCTCTTGACTGTTTTTTATGCAAAATTTTACAGAAGGAAGGTGATTTTTAACTATTTGAGTATGTACAAGCAAAAAAGTAATAATAAAACAAAATTTAATACATGTATGTAGGCATTTCGGTATCGGTTGCGGCGAACCAATTAGAAATTCAGCATCATGTGACGGTAATGCTCAGCCATTTCTTTGTCTGCTTATCCCTAAAAAGATCTCGAATAGAACAATACGTATTTATTCTCAAGTGTAAAAGCTTTAATTTCCATATATAGAGGGTGGGTATTTTTACTCTTCTTCATTTCATGCTCCTTGTGGGCGTACGTTGTACATGTATCATTTTCATGCATCAATCGTTTGACAAACACATGTGGACGACGACGACTTTCATTCCACCACATATAAATCTTCGTTTTGGACATAAATATCACTGCCATCATCACTATTCAATTATTTAACTCAAAGATGGTTCATGATTGTAGTGAATGCGAGATTTGTCAAGACGATTTCTACTGCAAAGCGTGTTCAGTTCACAATATTCATGATTGTAGTAATAACTGTTACAATTGTAAAGATTGGGGTTACTGCAATGAATGTTCAGTTCACAATGCTCACGTTCATGATTGTAGTAAATGTACCATTTGTCAAGAAAATAGGTGGTGTGAAGGATGTTTTCGTTATCACAAACGTAATTTATGTTGAATGGTCTAGTGGAAATAAAGATATCGACAGTCTAATAAATGAATGCAATATTAATTTCTATGATGAAGTATTCGAATGGATCCCTTTTGAAAGATTTACCAATATTGGATATCTTGCAAAAGGAGGTTTTGGATCAATTTATAAAGCACCCTGGTTGGACGGACCATTGGATAATGAGGAAAGGGATCATGTAGAGAATAGATTTAAATGAAGAGGAGAAACTGACGTTGTGTTGAATCATTACACAATTCAAAGCAAATTACACCCGAGTTTAGAAACGAGGTAAAATGAAACCTTCAAGTGTAAGCATATTGCTTTTTTGTTTTCAATCTAATTAACTTTTTCAAAATTAGATTCAGACTGCTCTAAAGTGCTCTGGTCGTAGTAGTTATGAAATAAAATATTATGGAATAACTAAAAACCCAGCTACAAATGAATACTCGATAGTGATGGATTATGTAAAAGATGGCGATTTACGCAAATATATGAATTCCAACTACGGAGCAATGACTTGGGAACAAAAATTAGATTATTTACTTAATATTATCGGAGTTGATGACGATTCACAATGAGAAATTTGTGCATCGTGACTTTCACTGGAAATATATTAATAAAGACTAATCCTTGTATTGCTGATTTTGGACTTACCGGCCCAGCAAATATAGAAAAATCTAATCAAGAAATTTGCGGAGTACTTCCTTATATGAGTCCGGAGGTACTAAATGCAAAACCATACACTAAAGCTGCAGATATTTATAGTTTCGGGATGATAACGTACGAGGTTGCTACAGATGAACGACCATTCGGTGAACGAAGTCATGATAGACACCTCGTATGCGACATCTATAATGGAGTACGACCGACGATACCAAATTATGTTCCTAAATTATTCAAGTTTATTATTGAAAAATGTTGGGATCCTATTCTTGAAAACAGACCAACTGCCAAGGAATTTTATTACTTTATCCGGTCTTTCAATTATACTAATAAGGATAATAACGAATGGAAACCGAATACTTGGCATTTTCAATGCTACAGCTCTTTTGAATCTCCTAAAACAGATGAAGAAATTAAAGAGTGTGTTAAACTAGAAAAGCAGAAATTAGATGAACTTGATAAGGAGATGGAATTACAAAAGAGCATTTTTACGAATACGAGCAAGAAACAAGAAATCCACTCAAACGCAGTTTACATCAGTCGAATGTTTACCACAAAACTAATTTCAATTCCAACTGACACAGGTACTTTCTATTTCTAAATATAAATCATATTAACGTTTCATATTAAGTAAAATTTATATTGAATGTTTAGGGTTGACGAATATCAGTTTGTTTGTTCCAAACGAGGGTAACATTATATTTAATATTGTTTTTTATTGACTTCATTAATTCATTGCTTTTTGGATTGCAAAACAGAAATTAACGAGAATGGAGATCTATCGAGTTTCTTTCAAGAACAACAACTTCTTCATGATGAAACATTGGCAATATCATGCTCGTTATTAGATGAAGCTGGTAAGTAATTATTTTAAACATTTTAAATAACTGAACAAACGTTCGTAACGATAACCTCACTCTATATCGATCGATATGCTATTTCAATTAACTAAAACAATCTTACACGTGAAGGTGACCAATCCACTACTCCTTCGAGTCCAAATAAACTTTTAAACTCCGCAGATATTAAACCTGCTTCAACTCCTCCCGATAAATCACTGGAACCAACAACGACGATTTCTATTTTACCTTCTCAGTCAAGAATGCCAAAGCAAAGTGTAATACATAGCAACAATGTTTATGATGCTTAGCATGAGGAAATAGAACTATTTCTCGAGTCTCAAGAATAAACCAATTGGGTGATAGACTCTTCCCAAAAGTTAAAGCAACACAGTCAAGGTAATTTCATAATAATATTTTGCGACTATCAAAATTTTCTAATTGACAATCAGAATCTTTACATACGATCGTATTAGAGTCTTAGAACGAGGGCTCAAGCAAGCAAGATCATTCTTCTCATTACCAATGATCTCCGTGAATTGGCTCATTCGATGAACGAGCAAGATATATTTAAAGTAAAAGTTGAAGCCGCGGTGGCAAAACATTATCCACATATAAATCAAAATTTCAAATAAAACACAAAAGTGAACTCTGTCTAACCTTTCGAGTGTTCAGCAGTAAATGTACCGAGTATGACTGCTGCGATGACCAATACAAGTCCAATATGGTCCAGTCCAGTAAAGTGACAACACTGGATCTACGATACCAGATAATGTTCCCGGATGATGCAAATTTATCATTGAAAAATGTTGGGATCCTATTCCAGAAAACAGAGGACAAAGTTGAATTCATTGCATTTTTAGTACTACGACTCTTTTGAGTCTCCCAAGACAGATGAAGATATTGACGAGTGTCTTACAAGAATAATTACAAATTCACAAATGAAACACTCACAATATCATGCTCTTTATTAGATAAAACTGGACTGGTAAGTGTTAATTTATATATGCGTTATAGAATCGACTTTTTTAATTATCTTCATTCTTCCCAACCCGAAAACGTCATTTGGAGTCAACAAGTACAATTCCTAATCATATGCTACAACATCAATCATAATGAATTTAAATTATTCGTTAACGTTAGACTACTACGTACGTATTACATGTAATATACATGTACATGTACTTTTACCTGCCATTTAAACGTACATGTAACATACCGATACATATTCATGTACATGTACATGTATAATGATAAATGAATAATTTAGAATTCATTAACTTACGTAATTGATGTAATTATGGTATCGTATCGATATGATTAGGAATTTTACTTTTTGACTCCAAACGAACTTTTTCGGGTTGGGGAAGGATGAATATATTGGTGAATCATAATTTGTTTTTCTATCGCTATCATTGTTCCGAATCATCTTTAACGTTAATATTTTTTGATGCTGGCAAATTAAAGAAAAATATAATTGGAAGTATTTCATCATGAAGTTGTTGTTCTCGATAGATCTCCTTTATCGTTAATTTCTATTTTGCAATCTAAAAGAAAATAGCAAAGAATTAATGAAGTCAATAAAAAACAATATTAAGTATAATATTACCTTCGTTTGGAACAAACAAACTGACACTTGTCAACCCCAAATATTCAATATGAATTTAATTAATATTAAAAGTATGTATATATTTGTATAGTCATCTTCAAAGTATTAACCAATATTATTATTCAACAATAATAGAATATAATACAACCCGTTGCTGCTTACCCGTGAAATTCAAAGAAAGAAATTTTTTTCTTGTAATCTTTTTGGTTATGTTATATTCTTTTCTACAATAAGATTCCATTTCGACAAAATATTTTATCCTCATACAACAACAGTTAAGTCGCCTAAATGCAACCTCCATAAATGCACGCACACGCTCTTGTTCAGTCACAAGCTTATATGACCTTTATATACTCTCTAAATGTATACCTATGTCTGGCTATTACTTGTGCAACAGAATCATTGCTGTCACCTTCAATAGTAAGATGTGCATGCGCTCTCATATCCAACAGAACCAACACATCTTTATCCGTATTAATTTCATAATGACTGTTGCTCTCCTTCTCACTGCTGACATCAAAAATAACGAACCACTTGTAAATCTTTATCGACGACTTTAATCCTGTTGACTATAATTATAATCACTTTTGTGTGCAAGGATTCTTTAACCTGCTCTGACATGACGTGCTCAAGCCCTTTTTCACTTTGACTGCGTCTTTTTTAGTTTTTGACCGAGGACTTTTTAATCAGCTTCGGCCCGATATTTTATACTGTATTTGTCCTCGTCCGAGGTTACTACTAGCTTTTTGATGTTTAGTTCCTGGATGTTAAATGTAACATTAAGAAATGAATTAATTTCAGTTTCTTGCAAGTCAAATGCTCGAAAAAAAGAATACATACTTCGACAATGTAGCTCTTTAAAGATAAAACATCAGAATGATACTGAGAATCAGAACCACTAATTCTTTTAAAGGAGTCTAATGAAACCAAAGGTGAAAACTCGCATCAATTGTTTCGCATGAATTATTAATAAATAAAAATTACGAGCTCAACCTTCAGTCCAATATTCTTTTTCTCTCGAATGAAGCGTTCCAGTTCAATCTCCGTGTCAAAATATTCTTAGCGCACTTCTGGAAATGACAAAAAATGCACAGATGCAGATCTTGATCAACTTCGGGTGCTGATATATCGATATCGATATAGTCTCAGTGATGAAGAATGTAAATGATGACTTTTTAATTGTCCCAGCCAAAAAAAAATAAGATTGAGCCAATAAAACTTACCAGCATTAAGCTTACCATTGAACGACACAGCGTATACAAACTTTCAAAAAGTATGTTTAAAGCATCAATTGTATCTTCTAATCCGTGTTCACCCTTTAATCATTTTCGGTTGAATCTCACATACAAATTAGTTAACTTATCAATGAGTCGTAATAAGCCTGGAACTACAGTGTACAACCGGTAGGCTATTTATTGATAATTAGTTCATCGAATATAATTAGAGAGGAATAGTTTAATTACAAAGGAAAAAACGGTTATGACGCGTATTTTTATTGTAAATTATCAGCCATTTCCTCTCGAACAAGCTTGATGAGGCTCTGCGATGTCAATTTTTCAGCTACTGGATTGTACGTGTATTTGGCATTCTTTTCCTGTTTCATGTGAAATTTTTCAAATCAAGAATAAATTAAATAAATGATATTTCATTAATGCAGCTGGAGGAACAAACCTTTTTTTTTTTTTTTAGTAAAACTACTTGAGAAATAAAAAGCGATAGACGTTATACCACGGTAGAAATACTTTTGTGATCTTCCTTAAATTTTAAAGGTTCGGCGCATACAACCGGTTAATTATAAGATAAAATCTTTAAAAATGCGATTTTAACTATTAGGATCCGCGAGTTAAGTAAAACGTTTTAAGATAAATAAAAAATGACCTTAATGCCAGCGCCATATGCATCAACGATTTTTGTAGGCTCAGGATAATTTTTCGTTTACTCATTTTCTTTCCACCCCTTGACAATGAAATTACGAGTTAATTTTTTTATCTAATATCGAGACATCATATTCATCTAAAATAATAAGAAAAGCATAAACTCACGATGCCAAAACCAATCCATTAACAATCAAATTCTTAAATGCCAGTTTATCAAACAAATGCGTCGATAGCACCATTAATGTATAAAACCAGCCACGAGTTTGATCTAATCCTTCAGCAATGAAATCTGCCAGAAAAGAAGCTTCAAAATTTTCTTTATTCTCAAACGGCTAATGAACTTGTGCATAACGATAAGGCATACTAACGCTAAATGAAAATAAATAAATAGACATAACGAAAATACAAATTTAATAAAGTTTAGAGGGAATGGTGATATGAGCGATTTTTTCACAGTGAATGTCTGTTAATTTTTCACACACAGATAATTCTTCGAGTTCTCTTAAAGTTAATGATCCCACCCACACATACAATCTTTGAAATAATAATAATAGTAATTTGCGTGAGTAGATGCTTAAGATAACTGCATATAACACAGTTTTTGAACTATCTCTTTCATATCATAACGAAATTGTCGTACCCCAATATCGGTTTCGTGAAATATTCCAATCTCGTGCATTACTTGCACAAAAATCAGGAACCCTTAATTTGAATGCTCGATCACTAATTAACAAATTATCATACCAATATGTTTCTTTGTTGTCTTTAACAAATTTTCAATAATTGGCTTTACACGAACAAACCGAGAACCTCGGTCTTTGAAACTAGGTTTGGAGATATAAAACAATAGGTATTAAGATAAATTTTTACATGGAACGATAGTTTAGCATTAGGTTCTTCTTAAACTTCCATTAGTGTTTTTAGAACTCTTCAGAAAGCTTTGATGCTTACTCTACCACTCGAAAAATAAATTGATTGTTATGTTTTGATTGATGATATGCTGCACACTGAACCAAATCGAAATAGCCAAGATCAAAAAAACAGGATACATGTAATATATATCTTGTTCTACATTTTTGATTGTTTCAAGTGTTAATGAAAAACGATACTGGTAATGACCTAAAAATATAGGTTTCTTGTGATTATGTATATATTGTGGTAGTTTTATATCATTTGGTTAGAATATATAAATAATGTAATTGCTTTGAAGAAACTAAAATAATTCAATATGTATAAACCTATTAGTAGTTATAACGGTATTAAAAGTACAATTTGTAGCCAAGTAGAAGTGGGAAAAATTATAGCTGACAAATTGTATTGTTGTTATAAAGATAACAAGAACTGCTCTCTTTCTTCTGACTGCGTTGGTGGCAATTATGAAGTAGCCCAATGCCATAATCTCAATAAGCTTGATGCTTGTAAAAGAACTGATTTGGCTGCAATTCAAGTCTGTGGTAGTTTGCAAAATAGTTTATTTTGTTTGTCTATGGATGCAATAGGTAGAAGGGATCCCAACTATTACCACTTTCCCAAAGCTGCTGAATGGATGATGAATCGAAGTACTGAAGTTGAATCCAATGTCATAACGGTTTGTGATGATGGAACTAGTTACCGTCCATGGAATAATAGTAATCCTATCGGAGTTGCCAATCTGACCTGTGGTGATTTATTTCAAAGTGAACATCAATGTAATTGGGGCAGATCTGGTATGACATCACGAAAACCATAATCCCGACAAGCCATAAACCTGACAAACGAAATTCCGAATGCACAGCATACTGACAGCACGAAATCCTGAATGAACAGCATACCGACAGCATGAAATCCCAAATGAACAGCATACCGACAGCATGAAATCCTGAATGCATGAAATCTCGATATTTTAAATCTTAATATTTCACTTCATTGGTATATCTGATATTTCATCCATTTGAGATGCCGTGCATTCAGGATTTCGTCCATTAGTGATGCCATGTATTCGGGATTTCGTGCTGTCGGTATGCTGTTCATTCAGGATTTCGTGCTTTCAGTATGCTGTTCATTTTATGTTTTGTCAGGATTGTGGTTGTCAGGATGTTGAACGTCACCGATTGGGGGCGGTGACGTTTAACATCCTGACAACCACAATTCCGACAAAACATAAATCTGACAACCAAAATCCCGAATAAATAGCATACCGAATGCACAGTATACTGAAAGCACAGCATACTGAAAGCACGAAAGCCCGAATGAACAGTATACCGATAGCACGAAATTCTGAATGAACAGCATACCGACAGCACGAAATCCCAAATGAACAGCATACCGACAGCACGAAATTCTGAATGCACAGCATACTGACAGCACGAAATCCTGAATGAACAGCATACCGAAAGCACGAAATCCTGAATGCACAGCATACCGACAGCACGAAATCCTGAATGAACAGCATACCGACAGCATGAAATCCTGAATGCACAGCATACCAACAGCATGAAATCCTGAATGAACAGCATACCGAATGCACAGTATACCGAATGGATGACATCACGAATGAGCGAAATACTGAAAGGACTATGGATAGGAATCGATTCTTTAGAATCGATTAATTTTGTAAAATCGAGGAAATCAATTCTCTAGAATCGATTAATTTTGTAAAATCGTGAAAATTGATTAAAATTTAAGAATTTGATTTCATTTATGGTAAATAATTGAAAAATCATGATTTCACTTTTGAAATGTTTACAATATATAACAACCAAAATGTTAATATTGATAATAACAAAGAAACTATTGCCAGAGTTTAATAACTCTGATAGCAATACTAAGGCCAAAAGTAATGGATACAGAATCTCAATCTGATGACAATACTTCAATTGTCTCTATATTATCTTTGCTACCTAGCATCTTTACGAATTCTGCTAATTAAAGTATAATTTCAAATAATCAAAGTATAACTTCAACTATCTCAATGAAAAGGAAAAAATTCAATATACAAAAAATAAAATCAAGCCCAGTTATATCATCACCGTTATCATCATTATTGCTGTTGTCATCATCATCATCATAATTTGTGCTTGAGAATCAATTTTGGATTGTGAATCAATTTCTATCTTTAAAAAGGACAGCATCTCAAAAGAATTAAATACTGAAAAGATGAAATACTGAAAGAACAGCATCCCAAATGCACGAAATTCTAATATTAAAATTTTAATATTTGACTTTATTAATTTGATATTGATATATCTAATAACATGATAATTAGGTAATATAAACTTTACTATGTTATAGAAATACTATGTAAAAGAAAAATAAAAAAACCATGAATTACGTTATAAAAACACTATATAAAAAAAAATCATGAATATTATTTAATATCACAAAAGAAATTAATAGACTAATTTAATTTCTTGAAAAAATATCCATTACAAGGAAAGATTGTGTGCAATTTCATGAAGAAATTCCATTACTGTACAATTTGCTCGATTCTCAACAACAGTCATAATTCTTTTCTCTCTATCAAGTATCTTCTTTCTTGGCTTTGGACGTTGCTCACCACGAAGAATATTTTCAATCTGAAATTCAACTTTTTGTTGTTCTTTCTGAAATTCTTTAATAATAGTATAGACACCTACATGAGCTTGACCAATCAAAGTTTCCCAACGACAATACCAAGCTTCTACATTATTTTGTGTTCGTGGAATTCCTAGTTCCATTGAATTATATACAGACTATAATTGTGATGGAAAAAGTGGTGATATACGAATTGCATTACCATTTCGCAGTTGTGTTCTCATTCTTCCATGTACATAATTATCTTCAAACCATTGTACTACTTCTTTTGCTTCTGGTGACATTTCCAGTTTCAAAATATCAAATGCTGCAGATATTTCATGTTGTGATAAAAAAGCTAAAGCAAATAAATGACGTAACATGAAGCTAAAATGTTCATTTTCACCATATTGAGTTGCTAATCCACAATTTTGTATTTTTCGCCAACCACTTTGTCCCAAATAAAAGAAACATTCTTTATTAGTAACACCAGAAAACTCAATATTTGAAGCATTAATTGCTGCTTGTTCAAAATCTGTAAGAATTCTTGAGGATTTCAGTTGAATATCATTTTCTTCTGCAAAATTAATCAAATCTTGAAATAATTTTATATATAATTCTTCAGATTTACTGGTCATTAATATATATACAAGTGGAAGAATTCTAGAATTATTCTCTGAACCAACAGGTGCATGAATTGTATATAGTTGGCGAAAAAGTGTTGGAACTGTTTTGAATGTGCCATCCATAATCCAAAACAATATTTGATTCAAATGCTGAATATTAGCTCTTGTTGTAAAAAGAAGAATTCGTCCTTGATCAATTATAGAATCTCTCACAAGGAAAAGATCACCATCCAAGGTAGAATGAAGTGAATCTGAAATATTGATTTCATCAAGAGTTTTTGGTTGTGGTGACATTTCTGTTCTTCTAGCATGCTTAATTTTTATATGAAGAGCATTATGTGATGATATATAAGGATGAATTTCTTCTGGAACATTGACAATATTATTTTGAATAATTTGTGCTGGTTGATTATTTGTTTCTTGTGCTTGTTTCTTGATATGAGCGGTTGTTTTGACAATACTAGCACTGCTAGCTTGAGGTGAATGATTATGATCAACAAATTTTTGGAGATGGTGCAAACCATCAAGAAAAATGATAACTATCCGACCTTTGCAATTTTCCAATTTTCTTTTTTCACAACACCAATAGAATGTATTCTCCCAGTTTCAGTCTTTAACCATTAAATAATCACGAACATTGAGTTTAGCATTTCCTCTTTGAGAGGAACACTAAAGCCGGGTAGTGCAATTCAGATCGAGTCAATCCAGATATGATCTGGATTGATTTGATCCAGATTGACAAGTAATATCACATGCGAAAGAAAAAATTTGTTTATTGCAAAATGTAAACATATCGATAAACATTGTTATTGCAAGGCAGCGTTGCTTTTTTTAAGGAAGAAGGGGAAGGGGGCTAAGCTTATTAAGAATTTTTTTGGTGTCAAACGCAAGCTATAAGTGTTATAATAATAAGACCAACTCAC